ACACCTTTGTCTCCCGGTATCACTTATTTAGAAATAGCAACTTCCACTCCAGTACCATCATAGGGAAATTGATCATTGCAGCACAAACAAACAATGGTCAGCAGATCTTGGAGCTGTTAAAGCAACAGGTTTTGTCTTCAAGTCAAACTGAGCTCAGCAACTTACTTAACCATCACCTTCAAAACAACATGAGTTGCTTCCTGTATTATGAACCAGGATATTTACAAATTGAGCCTTGTGGTAATATACCATTGTATTTTCATTTTTTTAAAAAACATTCTCCTTATGAACATTTATAGCTTGCATGCAAAGTGTTAGGTAACCTTCCATTTTTTTCCAACTAAATCTTATCTACCGGAGAGGAAATTGGAGGGTACTTATAGAAAAGGCTCTGGCAGTTCATCCTTATTTATATTTATTGAGAAATTTAGCCCCACTTGACAATAAAAATTGTACTAAAAATTATATCATCATATCAAATTATATAATTATATCAAATTAGAGGGGGAAAATAAATGTCAACAATATTGAAAATGCAGAACACAGAAAGAACTGCTGTGTTTTGTAATTGTCATTACCATTTTGGAATAGTTATTCCCAAAACATTAAATCAATACATAAAACGGTATAGGAACATGTGTTCATGTGTGTCTTTATAATCTTCTATAGACCATGCTAGAACATACTAGTTCAGCAGTATGTTTACCACTGCTTTAAAAAACTCATTGTTTTTTTTAAAAAAATTAAGTATTTATAATCTATCCTCTTAGTACGCCAAACAATAACATCAATCTAGAACAGGCATGGGCAAACTTTGGCCCTCCAGGTGTTTTGGACTTCAACTCCCACAATTCCTAACAGCCTGCCGGCTGTTAGGAATTGTGGGAGTTGAAGTCCAAAATGCCTGGAGGGCCAAAGTTTGCCCATGCCTGATACATAACAATTAAAAGCAATAAGAATATTTTTTAGACTCTAAAGGGGTATTAATTCATTTTTCACAAATGTATTGGATGAAACCACAAATTATGGAGACCCTTCCCACATATAAGACTAGAGGTCACTATTTGAATATGAAAACAAATACAACTGCTGAAGGTTTTAAATACAGTATTTAAAATGCTGGCTGCAAAGCAAACACCAGCATCAAAAATATTTCCAGTGGTTCTCGTTATTTCAGATGGTGCTGCTTTAAATGGTGAGCTCTTAAAAACAAATATATGACATCTCATAGCAGTCAAATAAAGGCTTTAGAGGGGAGACAGGGAACCTTTGGACCCCACATGTTGCTGGAACAGAAATCTAAACATACCTGGCCATCAGTTACTTGCCTGACTATTTAAGAAACTGTTGACCTACTCCTTCATGTTATAGTTTGCTAAGCATAGAGAAATCTATCAATTTCCTCACTGAGGATTTCTGAAAAAGTAAGGGATCTACCTATGGAGGGGTTTAGAATAAACTCATGAGAGCATAATTGTGCTAGAATCTCTGCTTAAAAAAACGGAATAGTGCATTCAATCAATAAGCTACTTGAGATGAGAAGGACCACATGTTACTACGGCAGCAAAGTCGTGACTGTACATTCATAGCTGCAGAACCGTAGAGCTGCGAATAAGTTTGTTGTTGTCCTGTGCCTTCCAGCCATTTCTGATTTACAGAAACCCTACAGCGACCCTAGTACAGGGTTTTCTGAGGCCATGCGATTTGCCCAGAATCAAATAAGTAGAGGAGAGGAAAGACTTCTATTTAGAGGGTACAGTTCCGAGCAACTATTGTCTTGATTCTAGATATATATTACCAGAAGTGAGGGATTAAATGATAAAATTGTGCTCAAATCACTCATAACATTGAACCGAAGGGGGTTTTTTTCTAAAGGAAGGGAACATGTTTTTTATAATTAAGTTTTGTAACTTGCTCCAGCTACGATTAGCAAGCAAGAAAAGATTTAGGCCAGCATCTCACCAAGAAGTGTGTGTGTGAATGTGTGTGTGAATGTGTGTGTGTGTATTGGGGTGGGGTAACAACTGAACTTAAAATAGCAGCAACCCTCCCTTCATAAGATGTCAATTGTCAATAGCATGGCCATATAGCCCGGAAAACTCACAGCAACCCAGTGATTCTGGCCATGAAAGCCTTCGACAACACAGCAATTGGAATGTTTGTAACCTTTATTCAGAAGTCCAAAATACTCCAGAATTCTCTGCATGGATCCTATATGCCATAGTAGTTGCTTTCTGGTAGTCTAATGGGCAGCGACATGATTTCATGCACAAAATTAAAATTGTGTATAAAATTTCCTCATATGTAGTAGATGTATGTGAAACGTAAGTGAATTTCATGCCCAAGATAGGACACGGTAGGTTCATATATATGCAAATGTAAATGTATATGAAAGAAATCAAAGTCATGTTCAGACTTGGTCCCACCTTGAAGATATCACACAGTATGTGTCTGTGTGTTTATAGATAAAGGTTTCCCCTGACATTAAATCAAGCTGTGTCCGACTCTGGGGGGTGCTGCTCATCTCCATTTCTAAGCCAAAGAGCCAGTGTTGTCTGTAGACATCTCCCAAGATCATGCAGTTGGCATGACTGCATGGAGCACTGTTACCTTCCTGCCGAAGCAGTACCTATTGATCTACTCACATTTGCATGTTTTTGAACTGCTAGGTTGGCAGAAACTGAGCCTAACAGTGGGAGCTCACCCTGCTCCCCGGATCTGAACCACCAACCTTTCGGTCAGCAAGTTCAGCAGCTCAGCAGTTTAACTCGCTGTACCACTGGGGGTTCCATACACACACACACACATATACAAATGTATATGAAACATAAACAAGTCTCATGTTTAGACTCAGATTGCACTTCCAAGATATCACACTGGGTGGGTGTGTGTGTAGATGTGGTTTCATGTTAAATTCCTTGTTATGTTTTATCTTTTTGGTGTACCTTATACTGATTGGGTTATTACTGTTTTTATATTTTACTAGCTGTGCCCTGCCCTGTGGCGTAGTCCTGTTTGTATTGCTGTTATTTCATAAGCCGCCCGGAGTCCTTCTAGGGCAGGCATGGGCAAACTTTGGCTCTCCAGGTGTTTTGGATTCCAACTCCCACCATTCCTAACAGCTTAAGTGGCTGAGGGGGAAAAGGAAGGGGTCTGGGGCTGTTAGGAATGATGGGAGTTGGAGTCCAAAACATCTGGAGAGCACAAGTTTGCCCATGCCTGCCTAGGGAGATGAGGCGGGATATAAATAAAGATATTGTCAAAGGTTTTCATGGCCGGAATCACTGGGCTGTTGTGAGTTTTCTGAGCTGTATGGTCATGTTCCAGTAGCATTCTCTTCTGATGTTGTGAGGTCACAAACTCTGAGGATCCCTGCCATAGATGCAGGAGAAACATCAGGAGAGAGTGCTGCTGGAACATGGCTATACAGCCTGGAAAACTCACAGCAACCCATAAATAAAATTATTATTATTATTATTATTATTATTATTATTACAGATACATACATACAATAATGCACACACATGCAAATACAAATGTATACAAAACATAAACAAATTTGATGTATAAACCTGGGGGCCCTCGCCAGATATATTGTTATGTTTGTATGTGTTTGGTTTCAGTTCGTACAGATTGTTACGGCTTTTATAGTTAGCAATGTATCAAGACATATAGTGTGTGTGTATAAGCATTTCGAATAAGGAATACTCAGCCTGTGATAGGAAATGCCAGAAGAAGAGGGCTGAAGGAGGAAGTCCATTCCTCAATACACATTGTGATGGCTTTTATAGTTAGTAGCATATAGAGATGTATAGTGTGCCTCTGTGTGTATATATAATATATTTATATGCATTTTGAAGAAGGAATATTCAGCCTGTGATAGGAAATGCCCGAAGAAGGAGGTTGAAGGAGAAAGTCCATTCCTCAATACACACATATACATGTGCAAACAAATGTATTTATGTATAGACTTGGAGCCCCTCGCCAGATATATTGTAATGTTTAAATATGTCTGATTTCAGTTTATATACATTGTTACAGCTTTTATAGTTAGTAGGATATAAAGACACATTGTGTGTATGTAAGTATTTCGAATAAGGGATACTCAGCCTGTGATAGGAAATCACAGAAGAAGAGAGTAGAAGAAGGCAGTCCATTCCTCAATACACACACACATATATGTGCAAACACAAATGTATGTATGTATAGACTTGGGGCCCCTGGCCAGATATATTGTAATGTTTGAATATGTTTGATTTCAGTTCATACACATTGTTATGGCTTTTATAGTTAGTAGGGTAATAATAATAATAATAAACTTTATTTATAAAAAGACATATAGTGTGTGTGTGTGTGTGTATATATATAGATAGATAGACAGATATTTCGAATAAGGGATACTCAGCCTGTGATAGGAAATACCAGAAGAAGAGGGCTGAAGGAGGAAGTCCATTCCTCAATACACATTGTGATGGCTTCTATAGTTAATAGGGTAGAAAGACATATAGTGTGTGTGTGTGTGTGTGTGTATTTCGAATATGGGATACTCAGCCTGTGAAAGGAAATGTGAAGAAGAGGGCTGAAGGAGGAAGTCCATTGTGATGGCTTTTATAGTTAGTAGGGTAGAAAGACATGTGTGTGTGTGTGTGTGTGTGTTTCGAATATGGGATATTCAGCCTGTGATAGGAAATCTCGGAAATGGGAAGAAGAGGGCTGAGGGAGGAAGTCCATTCCTCAGGAAACAAATCACGCGTGTCACCCCCTGTTTGTCCCACAGACTGAGCAAGAACTGAGCGACGAGCCCTTGGAGCTCTCCTTCGGGGACAAACTTGAGGCGCCTTCAAAGCCGAAGGGGGAAAGGAAGACAGAGGGAAGGGAAGGGGCGAGGGGCGCCCCGACCCGTGCCCGGCCCTGCTGCTGGCCCCGTGTGGTGTCGGTGTGGGGCCCGTCCCCGCCTCCTCCTCCTCCTCCTCCTCCTCTTTTTTCTCCTTGCTGCTTACCTGTCCCCGCGGCGACGTCCCGCCGAAGCAGCAGCGCCCCGAGCAGAGGCGGCAGGAGCAACAGGAGTCCCCGGATCTGCATAGTCTGATTCATCTCCATTTCTTCCACATCATCATCGTTGTTACCATCCTCTCCGCTCACCTCCCAGCCCGGTGCCTTCTCCTCCTCGCTCTTCTCAAGACACACAAGCACACAGGGAGAGATTTCCTTTCTTTAAGCAAGGGGGGAAACAGAGGAGGAGAGCCCCCAAAGAAAGCCCTATTTCTCCGTGTGTGGAAAAAGAGAGAGAGAACGATCAAGCAGGGCGCATTGTCTTTCCGCCACACGCCCTCGAAGGAAAGGACCCGATGTGGCCGAGCGGAGAGAGACTCCGATGTTCTCCTCCTCCTCCTCCTCCTTCTCCGCCTCTTCTCCCCTTTCCGAGCCGGGAAGGTCCCCCCCTGCCGGCCTCCTTCCTTCAGTACAAAGGCTCCACTCGGCTCCCTTTCCCTCCTCCTCCTCCTCCTCCTCCTCCTCCTCCTCCTCCTCCTCCTCCTCTTCTTACGCGCGGCGTGGCGCTCGCCTCCCTCCTCCTCCTCCCTCCTCGGGAAATGGCGCTTTTGGGAGGCCTCCTTGTGACATCACTGCCAGCCTCATAGACACCTCTGCCTCCACGCCATGCCTTGGCCCTCCTCGCCTGAAGTTTTTGAGGGGCCGGGTTGTTTTGTGTCAGGATGCCAGGGCTCTGCCTTATTCAGGTAGAGATGAACCAAACAAACACCCAGTTTGTATCAAACAGTTTAATTAAAACAGCACTTACTTTCTGGCTGTTTTAACAGTCCCAAATATAAAACATAAAGATAGCCTTTTTTGGCGATCCCTCGTCCGAGTAGGATTGTCCTCCAAGATCGGTGTCCTGGCAATGGGTCCCTAGGTGACTGTGGAGCCCTATTCTTGATCTGCATGTTCTCCCACAGTGAGGGCATCGGTTTCCAGGTGGAAGGCTGTCCTGGTTGGGTTTGGCTTGATGTACCTTTCTCTTGGCCCGTTTCTCTCATTCACCCTCCATTCCTGCCTCTTCAAATTCTACAGCACTGATCGTCACAGCTGACCTCCAGCTGGAGCGCTCAAGGGCCAGGGCTTCCCAGTTCTCAGTGTGTATGTCTGTTGTATCTCAGGCTAAAATTCACCTTGCTCTCTCTGACAAACCAGCCAAACTTATGAAGAAAGAAGTTTATTGTGAGGTTTCAAACAAATCAGAATATAAGCAGTAAAAAGTCAATAGTACAAGGTAAAAATCCAATAGATTCCCTTTGAGTCAAAGCAGGAACTTGAAGCAAGAAGCAGCATAAAATCCAGGAAATAGCATGAGGTTACATGAAGCAGGCTTTCTTCCCCAAGGCCCAAGCCCCAGAGCAGGAGACAAAGCGAGCCATTTTGCAACGTTGGAACTGACGCCGAATCAGCTCCCAGGCAGTTTACTTATAGGTAAAACATCAAAACATTGAACATTAAACAGACAGCTAACAAGCAGTTTTCCCACCAACGGATGGGCTCAAGACTTGGCCGCAATTCGTAAACTCCTTCTTAACACCTGCGGCACAGTCTGACCTTCACTAGCTGTTTTATCAGCCACATTCCGTTCCTGTGATAACAATGGTTTCTCTCTAGCTACAGACTGTGGCTGAGAAAACTGAGAAATCTGAAATCCCACACCTGCATCTGTATTCCCATTCCCATCATGCTCATCTGCACCCTCAGTCCCATCATGCTGTTGCTGCTGAACCACAACAGGCACAGCCAGTTTTTTAAGGTTGGCTTTGAGCCCATCTTTAAATCTCTTTTCCTGCCCACCAACATTCCGTTTTCCATTCTTGAGTTCGGGGTAGAGCAACTGCTTTGGAAGATGGTACTCAGGCATCCAGACAACGTGGCTGGTCCAGTGGAGTTGATGGCGGAGGATCATCACTTGAATGCTGGTGGTCTTTGCTTCTTCCAGCACGCTGACATTTGTCCACTTGTCTTCCCAAGTAATTTGCAGGATTTTTCAGAGGCAACGCTGATAGAATAGTTCTAGGAATTGCATGTGACATCTGTTGACAGTCCACGTCTCACAGGCATATAGCAGGGTTGGGAGGACAATAGGTTTATAAACAAGCACCTTGGTATCCCTACCAATGTTTCGGTCCTCAAACACTCTGTGCTTCATTCAGAAAAATGCTGCACTCACAGAGCTCAGGTGGTGTTGTATTTCAGTGTCAACGTTAACTTTTGTGGAGAGGTGGCTGCCAAGGTAGCAGAAATGGTCAACGTTTTCTAATGTTACACCATTAAGCTGTATTTCTGGCACTGGAGAGGGACTGGTGACTGCTGGAAGAGCACTTTGGTTTTCTCGATGTTCAATGACAGGTCGAGCTTCTCGTATGCTTCTGCAAAGGCTTGTAGGTCTTCTTCTGAATTCGCACAGATGACGTCATCAGCATATTGGAGTTCTATAACAGATGTTGTTGTGACCTTGGTTTTGGCTTTCAGTCTGCTGAGGATGGATCCATGCTACAGTGTGACAAAGGCTGGTGAGGAGGCACATAGTCTCTCTCTGTTCCAGGGAAGGAGGCGCCACCACACTCCATGGCAGCATATTCCACTGCTGAACAGCTCTTACTGTCAAGAAGTTTTCCCTAATGTTTAGTTGGAATTTATTTTCCTGTAGTTTGACACCAGGCTTGTAATCTTCATACACATGGAATAATTGCACAAAATGCATTGCAGGAGCATGCGGGCCTTATTTGGCTTTTGCAAGAGGAATATTAGAGCGTAAGGATCTAGCTTTTTGCCCTTGGCTCATTCGTACACAGTTTTGTCATTCAGCATTTTTCTTTCTCCCCTTTTTTTTCCTGCACAGGCGGTCTTGCATGAACAAGGGCTGGCTCCACCATCAGGCAGAATGAAGCAATGCCTTAAGTGGCAGATACTTGGCTCAGGAGGCGGCAGTGACATCAGGCTGTGGTGTTGTGTGTTGACACCACAACCATTGCCTTTTGTTGGAGCACAAAGGAGTTATACATATGCCACACTGCTATCCGTTACCTGTTATAAGCTAGTGTTCAGCTGAATTGCAATGGTAGATACTGCCACATCCCTAGAGTTGACATTTCAGATAGCTCTGCATGGGAATACCTTCAGGCAGCAGATTATCTTACCATTTTACTCAACAAACACTCTTTCATCCTCACCCTTCCCTTGGTACTATGCTCCATAAAAGGCTTTTACGTGTCCAATAAAATATAGGGCCTTGTGATGGTGGGGATCTACCAACAGATACTGAAGAATATGGAATTAAAAAAGAGGAGAAATGGGTAATTTTCTGAAAAATCTAACAGTGCCACAATTCTTTATTTCAAAAATAAGATCCGCAATGTTCTATGAACTCATTGTTCTGTGCCTTCAAGGCAGCTCTGACTCTTGGTGACCTTATCAATGGATTTTCTTGGCAAATTTCATTCTCAGGGGGTTTTTTTCATTGTTTTTCTCTCAGGCTGAGAGTGTGTGGAGTAGCTCAAACTTGTTTATTGGGTTTCCATGGTTGAACTGGAATTTGAATTTTGGTCTCCTGGATTCCTGCTTGGTCCTTGAATGTTGGTCCTTGAAGATGATGTTTGTCATTCCTGGATTTGTTGATAATGAATAAGGAGGAATTGGTCACTGGAATCAAAACAGTTGGAACTTAAGGCAAAATTGTGCCTCATATTAAGAAGGACATAGACATGCTGGAACAGGTTCAGAGAAGGGCAGCAAGAATAATAAATAGGAAGAAAAAGACATATGAGGAAAGGTTGAAGGAGCTGAGTTTTAGCTTGGTGAAGAGAAGACCGGGGGGGGGGGGGGKGAACTGACTGCACCCTTCAAATACCTCAAGTCATTACACAGAGAAGGGTCCAAGTTTATCCTCTGCTGACCCAGAGGGTTGGAAAGGTATTAGGACAGTAAATTTCAATTGAACATTAGCAGAAATTTATTGACAGTAAGAGTGGTTCAGTAATGTAGCCAATTGCTTGGGGAGGTGATGGGATCTCCTCTGAATGTCTTTAAAGCAGTGGTTCCCAACCCTTTTTGACCAGGGACCACTTGACCAGGGAACACTTTGATGAGGGACGACTCTCCAACATTAGTACCAAAAGGGTTACAAATCAGTTTTTAATCAACTTTAAACTCAGTTTGGTTGTTTGGAGTGCTGCATGGGATATACCACATCAGCTTTAGTTTCTGATACAGAACATATGCCATCCAGTAGTCGCCATCTACTCGCACATAGAAAACCTGATTTAATAAGCCTCAGCACTATAAAAGGGTTTCGTGAGACCATCACTCTTGTTTGCAACGGTGTAGTAATGGTGAGGCCGCTGACCATATTTTAGTTCTTGCAGATGATTGGTGGTCCATGGACCACAGGTTGGGAACCACTGCTTTAAAAAAAGGATAGATAGCTAGCTTCTGGGGGTGTTTTAGCTGAAGAACTGCATTTAACGGGATTGGATTCTGTGATTTTATAAACAGCATAACACAACATGTACTTCAATTGCACGATAACCTTATAGCTAGAAGGTGTGACACAAACCCATCACTTGGAAGCAGGATTAGTTAATTAAGTTGGAGCACAAAGGAGCACATCTAGGACCTTAAGATCATCTGGGGATGTCCTGCTCTCATTACTGCCTTCGTCACAAGTATGTTTGGCGGAGACAAGAGACAGGGCCTTCTCGGTGGTAGCCCCTCAGCTGTGGAATGTCCTCCCTATAGATATTAGATCGGCCACCTCCCTTTTAACATTCAGGAAAAAAGTCAAGATGTGGCTTTTTGAACAAGTGTTTGCAAATGCAGAGTAACTGACATAGAAACTACACAATGAGTCTGGACAATGTTTTTAACAAGGAGGCATTTTGCATTTTTATTTTATTGATTTGTTTAGTTTTTATTATATGTTATGTTTTTAATTGTATTTATGACATTGTAAGCATTGAATTTTGCCCTGTTAACCGCCTTGAGTCGCCTACGGGCTGAGAAAGGCAGTAGACAAATACAGCAAATAAATAAATAAGTGGCGTGCCTTTCTCTGGAATCACAACTTTGTCCATGGAAGCATGGACCATAATGCATTTGGGAGACATGGAGGTACCACAAAATTCAAGGCATGAGAAGTTATACCTGCCCCATGTTTCTGTGATGGGTAAACACACAACACACTTAGAAAAAAAAGGAATAATAATGCCCGCCCCCTCTCACCAGTACACACAGATGTACCTTTGCATACATTAACAT